ATTCAAACACGAGCCATGTTAAGTCTATACAGAAAGAGGACATTATCCGAGCCTATATGGATCCCTTGTATGCTTGGGAGACTATTAAAGATAGTAGTAATTATTCAGGTTTCCACGTGTCAGGCGCTGAGCTGAATTTGAAACCTAGATTAATCTCCCTGAATTCTGAGAACTTTAAGGCAAGGAGATAAACTGTATACTAAATGGTGCTAGCCCAGCAGCAAGTGGGAAAAGAGATACTGGCTTGCAGAAGGTCATATGACTGCTAAGAAGAACTAGGAATCCAGCCTGGCACTCTGACCCCAGAACACGCACCCTTAATGTTATGATGGCCCAATCCTGAACCTTCTGAAACAGTCCCTGGCAGAGAAGGGTTTCATTTTACTCACTGGTTCCGTTTTATGAAACCACCCTCACGTCTTCTATACCTTCCAAGTGGAATGCTCGGTTCATTAATTTTAGGAATGCTTTCCAGGTCAGTGCTTCCTGAGTGCTACCATGAGTATGAATCACCTGGGGGTGTCATTAAAATGCAGATTTGGATTCAGGAGGTCTGGGGTAGGGCCTAGACTGTGCACACCCGCTGAGTTCCACATCATGCTGCTGTTGCTGCTGGTCTGAGGTCACACTTTGAGTACCACTGGTTTAGATTATTTTCAATAGTCCAGGTCATTAATGATTGACCCTTTAGGATCACCTGGGTGGCTCAGTGGTTGAGCGTCTGCCTTTGGCTCAGGTTGTGACCCCGGGGTCCTGGGATCAAGTCCCACGGGGGAGCCTGCTTCTCCCTCTGCCTATGTTTCTGCCTCTTTCTCTGTGTCTCTCATGAATAAATAAATAAAATCTTTTAAAAAATAATCGACCTTATATTTGAAACTTCACTTGAAAAATCATGATCTTCCTCACCAGCTCCCTGTTTGGAAATACCAGGCACTTTCCAACTCACATCTGAGACTATGGTTTATAGCAGTTGTCACATTTCTTCTTTTCTTCCATCAAAAGTGTTTTCAGGTCCAAGGTTTAGATTTCTTCTAAACAAGTTCTTCTCTGTTCTCTTGTCATTAATATGGCTGCTTACTCCAGAAGGATGAACACCAGCTATATCAGAGTTCACTCTCTGAACTTCTGTAGGCAACCTGGACAATTTGTCTGCATTACTGTTTTCCAGAGGAGTTTTAGTTGGGTGACAGGCAGAGATGCTTTCCATTTTTGCTTCCCAGGATTTTAACTGAGGGCAATTAGTTGCTCATTCTATCGCATGGATACTCCTTGGAAACATTAAATCAAATATTATCTGGCTTTTTGCGTAAGCAACGTACCATTTCTCATGCGGTGCAAGATCCTGTTACAGTAGGATTTTCTTGAGAAGGACAACTTTGTGTAGTCCAGTGATCACATAGGTCTACTTGAAGAGATCTTTACTGATAGTCAGGTTAGGGAATAATGGCACATTACAAATGCCTTGGTATAACTAGGGTTCCAGCCCAGCCTCACCTGTCCTGTTCAACCACATTTTGGCTCTCATTACTTTCCTTCAGCCACTCAAAGCCATGGGTGTGATGACTCCATGAGCCTCCTTGAGGCTGAGGTTCAGGGTATAATGGGCGTTGAGGGAGTTGGGTCCTTTCTCTAGATTCTCTATTGAGCCGAGAGCCTTGTGTGAATGGAGGGCCCCTCCTAGTATGACTTGGGACCCGGCCAGAGCCAGGAGGTCCAGGAGGCCTGTGTGACCTCTCAGCAGTTGTCTCTTGCTTGGCAGCTCTGTCCCAGGGTCCTTCCTGCTCAGTGCTTTCATTTGTGTTCTCTCCTTGGCCAGTATTATTGCATTCATTGGCATGAACACTACATGAATGAAGTGCATTCCCTTTATTTTTTGTATTTTTTATTTAAATTCAATTTAAATAACATACAGTGTATTATTAGTTTCAGAGGTGATTCATCAGTTGCATACAACACCCAATGCTCATTATTTCAAGTGCCCTCCTCACCTCCTCTCTGGCAACCCTTAGTTTGTTCCCTAGAGTTAAGAGTCTTTTATGGTTTGCTTCCCTCTCTGTTTTTGTCTTATTTTATTTTTCCTTCCCTTTCCACTATGTTGATCTGTTTTGTCTCAAATTCCACGTGGTAAATTCATATGGCATTTATCTTTCTCTGACTGTTTTCGCTCAGCATAATGCCCTCTAGTTCCAGCCACATCGTTGCAAATGGTAAGATCTCATTCTTTCTGATGGCTGAGTGATATTCCATTGTATAGATACACCACATCTTTATCCATTCATCTGTCAATGGACATCTGGGCTCTTTCCATAGTTTGGCTACTGTGGACATGAAGTGCATCCCTTTTAGACCTCACGCTTCATTCCTGGCTTGTCTCTAGTTAGGCTCATTCTTCAGTATCACCAATAGAGTTACCTAGAGGGTCAACTTAAATGTGTTCCCACCCAAAGGGGCAAACTGGGGTCCCTGTGTGTTATTTAGCATCTGCTACATCACTCCATAATCCACTTACAGATCCAGCCTCTCTTAAGCTTGTAGAACATTTCAGCCTCTTTCAGTTCTCTGGTCTTCCCTTCTTCCCCACCCCCACTGTCATGAGTTTCACACATTTTCATTTCTTCTCCAGGCCCGCCTGCTCTTTCCCAGCTCTGCCGTCTATGTGTCCGAAAGTGCTTGGGTCGAGCGTGTCATCAAACCATCCATGAACTCCATCTTCCAGAGCTGCTGGAAAGATTCCTGCTATACCGGTAGTCCCACCTGGCTGTAGGAAGATACTTGGAAATAAGCAGGTTGTTGCCTGCTGTATCCAGGGTACCTAGTGTAGATGCCCAACCATTAGACTCTGTAAATTTAAAGAGTATCTTTAAATGAGCTAAGTCAGTTAGCATAGATCCCTGATGAACGGGAACGCTTGACAAGTGGAAACTCCCGGTTAATGCTCTCACTAACCAAGGGGCAACCAGGAGCCTTTTTTTGTCTTTAGCTTTTGTTGTTAAGAAACTTTAAAAATCTGCAAAGGGGAGTGAAAATAATCCATGTTTGAAGATTCATGATCTTTAATTATTGAAGGGTCAATATTCTGAATATCATGCAAACACATGTAAATCTGGGTGAATAAGATTATGATGCATTTAAGTATTTCAAGATGTGTTCCCGATTTAGTTCCTTCCTCCTTTTCCCTTTCTTTCTTTGCTTCCATGAATAAACCTCTGCTATAATTTTGATTTCCTTGCCATTTGTATTTACATACATACATTTATGTATACATATATGCACGTATATACATGTGCATAGTTATACACACACACAGACACGCTCAATACGTTAAAAACATCACAGTTAATAGAGACTTTCAGTTACTCAGGTCCTGGTTGATAAGAAAGATGTTGGAAGAGATTAGCTCATCCAGAAGTTGGGGTCTGTTGCTCATCACTTCTGATATTAAATGCCGTCCTTTGAAGTAAAAAGTTTTAGGCTTGAACAACACTGGGCGCTCCCAACTAGCTGAACCCACAGGCACTGTTTGATGCTTGTTGCAACCTAAGCATCCATCAGCTTATTTCAAAGTCAAGAGCCTCAGGGTTTTTCAAATAATGACATGTTAATGCCAGTCACTGAGATGGGCTCAACACTGGGTCAATATTATTTCTGTGAGTCTGGGCCCCAAATAGGCATGACAGTTATAATAGAAAACACAGCCTTCCCTTCCCCCTCCCTTTCTCTCCTTTTCTACTCAGTCCCCTTCTGCTTTTCCTACTGTTCGCCTTTCTTTATCTCCTTCTCCTTTCTGTGAATTTGGAACATGGAAATTGGGCAGACTTAATTGTTGTAAGTACCACTGTAATGGTTCAGTGACTATAGTAATATTAGCTTCTAAAAAGAAAATTTTCTCTCAAAGGATCCTAAAGTTTGTTCCAAACATACATTTTCCCCCCAATTTTTTCTAGCCCTTTGATTCTCAACTGGGGACTATTTTGCCCTCCCTTCACCCCCTGCCACCACCACCTTGGGGGACATTTGGCAAAGCTTGGAGACGTTTTTAGTTGCTGCAACTGAAGGAGGGGTGGGTAGAGGTCAGAGATGCAGCTCATTGTCCTACTGTGCACAGGGCAGCTCCACAAAGCAAAGAATTATCAGATCCAAAAGGTCAGTAGTGCTGAGATTGAGAAACACTGCTGTAAACCTACGCTATTCAGTACAGAAGCCACAAGACACATTAGACTCTTGAGCAGCTGAAGTGTGGCTAGGCTGAATTGAGATGTGCTGTAATATCAAAAAAAAATACCCATGTTTCAAAGATTCAGTACAAACCACATGACATATTAGTAATTTTGATGTTGATTACACATTGAAGTGATAATATTTTAAATGTATTAGGTTAAATAGAATTCATTATTAAAATTAATACCACTTCTCTTTCCTTTTTTAATGTGACTACCATACAATTTTAAATTATACACATGGTTAGCATATTTCTGTTGGTACGGTTTGAGACTTTTTTTCTGATTTTCACAACTTTGAAATATCAAATAAGTTAATTAGTTAACCACCTGGGGGGAAAACATTAAATTCTTTTAAATTCCTATTTAACATCACATTCCAAAAACAAATCTTGGTCTTTTGAAAAATGTTAAACAATTTCAAATACTCTAAAATAGTAGAATAAAATGTTCATTAATGTACATGAAAGGGATGGTCTTTTCTGAGCCTAATATCAAAGGCAGAAACTTGAAAAGAAAATACTAATAAATTAAAATACGTATCATAGATGTTCAAGGATTAAAATATGTATCATAGAACATTCAGGAATTGGAGGATTTCTATCTTCAAAGTGTTCTCCTGGGTGTACTGTTTGGTCAACTTGCATCCTGTTGAATGTTTGAGCTCTGTGTTAAGCCCCAGGATGTCCTAGGAGATTCAATCTGTCTGTGGCCCCAAGGAGCTTGAGGATCCTGCTGTTCCATCTACTTTCAAAACTGCAGACCATGAATTTCGTGAATCATTTGTACGGATCTACCAGCTCTGGTAGGTGTGTTTTGTGTGTGTGTGTCTGTGTGGCGGGGGGGTGGGGGGGCACTTTAATTCTGAACTGAGTTCCAAGAGACCACTCACCAGACCGGTCCTTCTGGTTCCAGACAGATGCCGATGCAGAACAGATCCCTTGGAGCTGTTGCAATGTTTTATGATTTTTGAACATAGAGATTGGACATGCGGTAGTCTTTAAATTCCCTTTGAGTCCTACATTCCATCAAGCTAGAATTAGACCATCAGATATTGGTTTATATGATATTTATATTGCTTGTTCTGGGGGGTTCTTAACACTAATCTAGATTATTTCATTTTTCATAGGATGTGGGATGTTTTATTCCCCAAATGGTGTAATTTTTTACAATTCCAATCATATTTGAAGTGCTCTAGGATAGCTTTTTAAAAAAGATTTTATTTATTTATTCTTGAGAGGCATGACAGAGGCAGCGACATAGAGGGAGAAGCAGGCTCCATGTGGGGAATCCGATGAGGGACTTGATCCCAGGACCCTGGGATCATGACCTGAGTCAAAGGCAGGTGCTCAACCACGGAACATGCCCTCTAGGATAACTTTCCAATTAATTCATTCAGTACCTTTTTACCCGGAATCTATTTTTTTTAAAAGATTTTATTTATTTATTCATGAGACACACACACACACACAGAGAGAGAGAGAGAGAGGCAGAGACGCAGGCAGAGGGAGAAGCAGGCTCCCTGCAGGGAGCCTGATGCAGGACTTGATCCTGGGACTCCAGGATCACTCCCTGGGCCAAAGGCAGGCGCTAAACCACTGAGCTACCCAGGAATCCCCTTACCCGGAATCTATTACGTGCCAGACACTAAGGCTGTGAAAAAGATAGACAGGGTCCTTGCTCTCGACAAGCTTATGCATTACTGGAGGCAGCAAGGAATAAAGCAACACATACATACATATCATCATGTCAGGAAAGTGCTAAGAAAAATAAAGCAGATTGGGGTGAAGAGTGATGACAAGGGCTACTATTTCAGATAAGGTGATTTGGCAAGGCCTCTGGCAGAGTGACCAAATAGTAAAAGAACTCCTCAGGTGTGTGTCTAAAATTTATTAGTTTTTAAAAAAGATTTTATGTATTTATTTGAGAGAGAATGAGTTTATAAGAGAGCACAAGCAGGGGAGAGGGAGAAGCAGACCCCTCGCTGAGCAGGGAGCCTGACGTGGGACTTGATTCCAGGATCCCAGGATCGTGACCTGAGCCAAAGACAGCTGCTTAATCAACTGAGCCATCCTATTCCTTAGCTATTTCCATATTGTTGGACTACTTAGATTATTTCTACTTTCTTGCTGTTACAAACAACACTAGTATGAACTTTAATTTTTAATCTTTTTAAACGAGGTATTTCTTAGATGATGTTCAGAAGTGGTATTTACAGATTAAGAAAACTATTTAAAATTATAGTTTAAAATAATTAAAAATTTTACACAATAAATCACTTTAAGTGAAAAATATTTTCATAGCCATACAAATATCCAATATCACCTATCTGTGTACCCTATGTGTCTCTCTATAGACACCTAGTATGTCAATCAATATACCCTGTGTCTGTCATCTAGCTACCCATCCATCATTTATCTGACTGTACCTTTCATCTGCCTTGACCCATTATTTTTAAAAAATGTGCGTTTGCCTGTTTTATTTGAAGATTTAAACCTCAACTCTTTCAACATCCCTTAAATTACTTAAAAGGTTGGATATGTCACTCAACATCTCCGTTTTTCCTTTGTCCTTTATTAAGGAACTGTTTCTCCCAAAGTAATTCTCCTCCTGATATTTCCAATATCACCTTTGTCAGATCAACCTAAGGTTGCAAATGATCCTTTTCTCAGCAGTGCTCATTGCTGAGAAGATTTGAGGCGCTTGAACACAAAGAGAACAGCCAAGGCTGAAGCTGGCACGGTGAGGGATGAACTGTGGGGTAACTCCAGCTTGTTAGGGAAGGTCGGATCATCTCCTGAGCTCACTCGCCTCAGATAGTGGCCAAGGGGCTGCTGCCGCATGGACATCTGCTCATGGCGTCAGTCAGCTCCTTTCTTTGGCAGAATCTGCAGTAGGATGAACACATGGATCATGCTCAGAATGGCAGCTTCCTACTTTCACGAGGGTTTGACCTGTAAAAAATATATACCAGATTTTAACTCTTATGTGGTAAATTTCCCCCTACCACTGTTGTTTTGAAAATGTTCCAGCTTATAGAAAAATTACAAGAACAATGCAATAAATATTTGTATACTCATCACCTCAATTCACCAATTGTTAGCATTTTGCCACATTCACTTATCTGTGTGTATGCACACACATAGGTATATGTACACATATGTATGCGTGTGTGTACACACGTCTGTAGAGTGTATATGTGTGTAAGCCATGTATAATTAATATATATACTAATAAGTTTTTTAAAGATTTATTTATTTTTGAGAGAGAAAGAGAGTGTGAGTGAGGGGAGGGGCTGAAGGACAGAACCCCAAGCACCCTCCCCACTGAGCACAGAGACCAATGTGGGCTTGATCCCACGATCCTGAGATCATGACCCTGAGATCACAACCACAGTGTCCAAATCAAGAGTTGGGCACTTAACTGACTGAGCCACCCAGGTGCCCCTATATAAATAATTTTAAATGAGCCATTTGTGAATAAACTGTGGACGTTTATTCCCCAGGGCCAGGATTAGATGAGGCGAGTGTTGCAAAAAATTTAAGGAGGCAACAAGAAACTCTATCATCAAAGTAAATATTTTAGTGCAATATATTTTTTTAGTGCAACTTTTTTTTTTAATTCAGCATTACAGAAAAAAGCCAGTGATGACCGAAATATCAAAAATTTTAATTTATTTTTTTAAATTGGTGTTCAGTTTGCCAACATATAGAATAACACCCAGTGCTCATCCCATCAAGTGCCCCCCTCAGTGCCCGTCACCCAAAGATGGGCTGTTGTTTGTTTTATGAGCTTACATAATTGTGCAATGAGAAGAGTGTTTCCAGTCAGCTGGAGGTCCTGGGACATGTGGCTCTTGGGCTTATGAGGAGTGACAGTGGCTTGTGAAGAGATTGGGCAATATGGGCTTTATATACTCATGTGTTTTGATTGTAGAGTTTGCATTAGCTTTTTCTATTTGGTACACAATATGTCCATAGGGGCACACATTGCTCCCTTTGCTTCAAGCTACATGTGACTTGAGCATGCAACTCCTAGGAACACAGAGTTTCTTCTGTATCACCTCAGTGCAGTAAATAACAGGCAGGAAGCTTGACAGTGATACACTTGTGATTATGTGATATTCAGTTTTGGGGATTGTGGCATTGATGTCTTTTACGTCTTGTGCCTCACCCCCCCCCCACTGCACCCCCAGTCAGGATCTGATCAAGGATCAGGCACTTTTTTTCTCCTTTAAGCTAGAAAGCCTCACCACCCCCACTTTTGTCTTTTCTGACATTGGCAGTTTTGAAGAATCCAGCCCCGTTGTTATGTAGACTATCGATAGCTCCATTTTGATTTGCCTGATTGTTTTCCTCAAAAATACTGCATTATGCCAGATTTTAAAGAACACATCCTTGTTTGAATCTTACTGTACTTCTAGATGGAGTGGGAATGAGGGACTGCTTTCCCAAGTAGCAACATCAGCTAGCTCAGCATGCAGAGCCGGTTATGCAAGAACAATAGAAACAGCTAGTTTTTTTTTTTGCAGGAAAGGCAAATCATTCCGAATTATCAGAGGAGATGTGTACCTTTTGGGTTTTGAAGGTTTTGTGCTAGAAAAATTGCTGGTTGGAATGACAAGAGGCTTCTGCTCCTGGGCCAACTTTGATTGGAGGTGACTTTCAAGGCTCTCCAAGGCCTGGGTGGGGGGAGGGAAGAGTCTCTGAACCCATGAGTGATGTCAGCCATGGACATCTAGGTGAGGGGTGCAGAGGCACTGGTGAGTGTTAAGACTGCACTTGATAAAGAATGATTGTGGCCTTACTGCTGCTTCAGGCCATAATTGTTTTTTCATACCTAACCTGGGCCAAGTTTCTGGAAGAGGTGTGTGCGTGCGCACACGTACACATTGCGCACACACTGAGGACTGACTGGACGTATCTAAGTTGTCCTTCTCTTGTTGTAAGCCAACCGATTCCTCTATAATCACAGCTCACGCACATGTAAATCAACTTTATCCTCATATAGACCCTTAAAAATGCATGACCTTCTCTCATAATGATTTTTGAATTCCTGATTGGAAGTGTGGTTAAACAGTTAAAAAAATCAATTCCCATCTTCCACTATTCACAAGAGGTGACTGACATTGTAAGCGTAGCGAGCAGGTTAAAAGCTGATTCGTTCCCTCCCAGGTACTAAGGCAAAAACCTGGAAATTTTCTTTCTTGTCATTTTGGACAATAAACTTAAATTTGAATATGGAAAAATGTTATCTTCTTGGAGTTTAATTAGAAGTAAATAAAGAAGCTGTACCAGATTTCACTCAAAGAATGGCAATAATGCTCAGGATCCCCACTGTGCCTCTCTGTTTAACTCCTTGTCATCCAGTCGACATTGGGAATAAATTTCTCAGTCTCTGCCAAATACTAGTTTTATAGTTCTTCACATCTTTCCTGATGGAGTAGCGAACAACGTCTGTGCTTGTGGCCTGTTCAGTTAATTCTGCAAAGCACCGGAGGGCAATTTGGCAGTGTTTCTCTCGATCTTAAAGCAACAGCCCCTTTTTTCCCAAAATGAGATTTGTGTTGAGATATTTGGGGATTTGCATGCAGTTGTAAGCAGTGATACAGAGAGGTCTCCTGTAGCTTTGCCTGCTTTCCCCCAGCGACAGCTTTCTGCAAACCTGTAGTACAGTGGAGATCGACCCTGACACAAACCACTGATCTCATTCAGAATGCTCCAGTTTGGCTTGTACTCGCTTCTGTGTGTGTCTTTAGCTCTGTACAAATCATCTCGTATGTACAAGCACACCTCTGACCTGGCATTCCCACTCTTAGGAATCTCTTCTCCAGAAATATTTGCATTTGTGCATAAAGCCACTTATATAAAAATATGGACTGCTGTATTTCTTTTGTAGTAGCAAAAGAAATGGTAACATTCTGCCTCCATCATAGAGGAGTAAGGAAAGGTTTTTGGCACAATAGGGAATGCTACACAGTAATGAATAAAGAAAGGGAGGGCTCTATATGCTAACATGGAAAGATCTCCAAGATGAAGGAAGTGTAAGAGGCCTAGAACAATATGGTAATATAATGACATTTATGTGAAGAATGTAAAGGGATAAATGTGCACGCATATGTCTGCATAGAAACGCATTTTAAAACAGGAAGGACACTACCTCAGCCTGTTAACAGTGGCCGCCATGGGTTTCAGTGGAGGATCCTTAAGTCTGAAACAGTGAGGCTACCTCTGGCATTAAAAAAAATCCGCAGTCATTTCACAGACTATGCTTAAGACGAACTCAGAGCCTTCCCTAACTGGGAAGAAAAATGCCCTTCCACCTGGAAGAGAGGCACAGTGGGAGCCTAGGGTTGGCCATCAGCCTGAAGTGGCACCCAGGGGTGTGGGGAAATTGAGTCCACCTGAAAAGACACACGGACAAGGACCCACTGTTTTGTAAAGGCAAATAGGCAGAACCTTCCCAGGGTAAAACTTCTTACAACGAATAAAGTAGCAAGTTCCTTCCACACCCCAGCCCCCCCCCCCAGCAATCCATTTTTCCAACAGCAACCATTAATTATTTATTTAGAAGTCACAATACAATGTGGGGAGGAAAGGCAAAGCCGGACACGCAGTGAAATCCTTGAAGTCAGAGGTAGGAAAATAGCAGTTCTTTCCAAAGGGACATTTTTGTTGCATATAGACACATTTTCCCATAAGAAACTCCCAGAAAAATTGAAACCACATGTGCAGATGGCCAGGGCGTGCTGTGCATGTTGCTGTGCAAGCAGTTCAGCCGGGCTGCAGCAAAACCAGCTTTCTCAGCTCGTGGGTTCTGGGGCTTTCTCAACAATGAGGAGCCCCCAAAGAACAAGCAGATCCCCGCAGAGGCAACAACGTTGCAGCGGGGAGTGGTTTCCTCCCCCCCACCCTGTTCCCTTTGCTCTCCAAAAGTTACAAACTGGCTTTCCTTCCTGATAAACCAAGGCTTCCTCACTGATTGGTCTCAGTTTGGGAAAGGACGTGACATCAGCAACTTTGCCGACTTGGGGCTGGGGGGCCCGCTGTGGGCTTTGGCCGACCTCCAGCCGGCTAGGTGGAGCGGGTGCGTGCGTGCGTGTGTGTGTGTGTGTGTGTGTGTGTGTGCGCGCGCGTGTGTCTGGGCGCGCGTCCGTCTGACCACAGGTAGGGCTCGGATTACCCTGCCCATTCTGTGCTCTGCTGTTCTCTACCGTCTGAGCAGGACGGTGCGGCCGAGGCTCCGGAATTCCCAGCAGCAGAAAGAACATGGAATTTGGACTTTCCTGAGCAATTGAAGTGGAACACGGAGGTTGCCCGGCTCCGGGGGCACCATGGACGGCAAGCCTCCGGGCAGGACCAGCAAGTCTCTGAGGCCGGGAGGCCCGCCCGACACCAGGCTCCTTTCAAACCCGTGGATGGGGGGTGAGTCTAGGGGCCGGGACCAGAGTGCGGGGAGGCTGGCTACGGTGCTTCCAGAGGAGAGGGCGGGGTGACTCCGGTGGCCCTGCTGGGGTGTGTCCCCGGCTTGTCAGCCAGACATCCTCCACTCGGATCAGGGGGTTCACCTCCTCTGCGGAGTCCTGGACACCATCCAAGGCCAAGTGGCACAGTTTATTCACCGGTAAAAACTTCAGCTCCGAAGAACGATCCTTTGTGGGCCAGATGTAGCCCGTATATTACATCGGAGGGGTAAAACTTCTAATAGGGTATTTTTACTGCCGAGACATTTATCAAAAGGTCTTAGGTATTTGGCATTTAGGCGGGGCTGGGTTTATAAGTGATGTCCCAACACTGAGCGCTGATCGATTCACTGTAAAAGGAGACTTTTTCTTTTTCTTTTTTTTTTAAACTTCAGAGAAGCATCTTACAGGCGTAATTCTCACCAGTCGGGTGGTGTCTTCGCTAACTGTAGAGTCTAGTGCCTCTGGGCAACTGTCATTTTTTGGTGAGCATCCAGCAGGTGCCTGCTGACTGAAAGGACTCTGTAAAATGGGTCTGAGCATTAGGCTTCAGATTCATATTGTTAGCAAGGCTGCCCACGACACGGGTCTATCAAAGGGGCAGTATGCAGGGACCCAGCAGTCAGGTAGGACTCACTACTCTCCTGTGGCACAGCTGCTGAAAGGGGAAACAACAGAAGATACAAAATACCACATGCCTTCCCTCCTACTTACTGAGCAGACAGGACTGCTCGTCCATTCATTCACGTATCCAGTTTTGCTTCTAAAAGGAGCAGGGCACTCAACACATAGGATCTGCATCCCCGAAGGCAGAACTGGATTAATCAGATTTTTTGAGCACAAGCTTGGAGTAGTAGAAAGCAGCGTGGCACCAAAAACTACTTTTAAAAAATGAATGTGATAAATGTATCATTAAAGCAGCAAATTATATTTTCAAGTTCAAGTGGGAAAGAATCAGTAACCTGGATGAGTTCCACATGATTATTTTACACCTAAGTATTGTTTATTTTTATTTCCACTCGTGGGGGGGGTGGCCACTTTTCACTGATTAGGGTTTCTAAAGGTCCTAATCCAACTCCATGTGGGGCAAGTTGGGTGAGTGGGGGTGGACAGGTGTCCATATGCTCAAGGGTATGGTGCTTCGAAAGTGAACACATTGTCACAACTAGAATGCAGAGTCTTAGGGAGTCTGCTGAGGACAAGTTTGGAGAGATCGAACTCAATAACAGAGCTGCAAAGGCTTGCTGGAGTTAAGCCTTCATAAAGCAGGGAATTGGGAGCCATCAATGGTTCTGGAGTGGAGACCTGGCAGTAAGGAAGACTAAGTAAATGAATCTGGTGGCCGTGTTCAGGATGGATTGTGGGATTACAGGAAATTCTTGCACGAATGCCCAGGTTCTCCAACTCTCTCATGTGTTGGCGTCACCCAGAGGGTTTGCTCACATGCAGATGGCTGGGCCCCACCCCCAGAGCTTCTGATGCCCTTGTAGGCCTGGGTGGAGCCTGGGCATCTGCATTCCTAATAGGCTCCCGAGTGATGCTGGTGGTGTTGTTTGGGGCTTTGAGAACCAGGAACTCACTGTCTAAGCATGGGGCTTACATTTGGATCGCACTTTGGAAATGACAGAGAAAGGGGAAACAAGGGTGACAGTTTCAAAGGAAAGAGCAATCAGGCTATGCTGCTTGATTAAATATCGGGACTAAAGGAGGGAAGGCAGCTGAAACTAAAGTTTTTAAGCTTAAATGAATGGCAGCCAAGGGGGTTGGGAAGCCGAGACCTCTGAGTGTTCTGCGGGGGCTGTGCTGAAATCCTGGGAAAGGAGAGCTTGTCTGATGGCCCAGAGCGGAGAGCCACGGATGGAGCCCTGGGCCAGGCCTGCAGCTGAGCATGCAAGACCGGTGAGTTAGAGAAGCAGAAAGAGATTTGGGTGTTGTCATTTCCCAGGAACTAAAGGATGAGAAGTTTCCAAAGAAGCAGAAGTCACATGGGCAGATGGTAGGACACCTCGGCTCTCCTGCCTCCTTGTCCTCTGCACCTGACTGGCCAAGTCCCCCTCACCTTCCGCACCCGGCCCAGCCACTGCCACCACGAAGCCCTCCCAGACTCTCTGCCGCTTCCTTCCTGAGTGGGGTCCAGCTCCCACTGCTTTGCGTCAGCCCTGCCCCTCGGGCGCAGCCTCGGTTCTGGCCCAGTTGCATTTGTTTATGCTTCTAAAGTCCTGACCTTGGTGAGGTGTGGAATGTGGGCCCCTCCGGAGCGCTATTTCCGCAGGGCCATGCCGGGGCACAGCTCAGGTGAAGCGTATTCCCTGGCACAGGGCCAGGTCAGAGGTTAACCAGGGCCCAGGTGTGCTTCCTCTTGGGGAACGTGGCTGCTCCCTTTCTCACTTGCAGGTCTTTCTCCGCCTCCTCTGGACGAAGGGAGGAAAGGACGTGCAGATGGCAACCAGCTCTTCACAGAGATTTGTTCAATGCTTCAGTCCTCTGCCAGGAGCCCCCCCCCAAAAAAAGTCTTTTTCTTTCCCTGAAAATACCATGTTATGGGTTGAATTGTGCCTCCCCAAAAGATACGTGGGAGCCCCCACCCCCAGTACCTCAGAACGTGCCCTTGTTTGGAAATGGGGTTGTTGGAGGTGTCATCAGTTCAGGTGAGGTGATACTGGAGTTCGGCGGGCCCTAATTCAATGACTCGTGTCCTTAGAAGAGGGGAGACAGGGAGAAGGCCTTGTGGCAGCAGAGGCAGAGATTGGGGGGACATGTCTAACAAGCCAAAAAGCCCCAGCAGCGATGGACGGCCACCACCTGAAGCTAGAAGAGGCAAAGAAGGAAGGATTCTTCCCTGGAGCCTCTGGAGGGAGCATGGCCCTGATGACGCTGTCGTGTCTGACTTCTCACCTTCAGAACTAGATGGCAAGGAATAGATAGTTGAGGCCCACTTGGTCATGGCGGCTCTAGGGAGCCCATTCGTACCCACTCATAGAGACTTTGGAAGAATACACAGAGGCAGAGACTAAACACCACCCAGAAGCCCCTGAGCAGGTGTTTGTAGAGTAATTGCTTTTCTCAGGAGATTGAGCCCACCCTGTAGACAGTGGGCTCCCATCGAAGACAGGTGCAAGCAGGCATGGAAGGGCCACAGTCCCCTGCTCTCGTGGATTTTTAGATCCCAGGGTGAGGGTTTCTGTGGGGACACCTGCCTGCTCAGACAGAAGGGGTGATCTCTGAGGTCCCCGTGGAGAAAGCAGCCTGAGAGTGAGCCAGACAGAGAGTGAGAAAGAAGACACTGGGCATTGGGACTGGAGAGAGAATGACAGTGGGCAGGTCTGACTGGCCCACCAGCTGCCTCAGTGGGCCTTTCTGTTTCTGGTTTCTGACCACGAGGCTCTGTCTCTGTTCCTCCTCTTTTTGTTTGTCCTGGAACCCAACCAGGGTGCATCGGATCTGTAAACACAGCGCCCAGATCGTGGGCAGTGTTGGCACCCAGCGCCGGGCCTCCCTTACCACATCCCAGAGGCCGAAGGCAGCCGCCCCCGCCGCCTCGGGCCCACTCAGCCTCCCTCTCTGCCCCCTGACCTCGCAAAATGTTTCTTAGGGTGGAGATAGATCTATGCCACTGCCTCAGAGCTTCGTTAGTAGCCCCCCTTTTTTATAGTAATGTACCAATTAGCGCCTTTAAAATCCCTTCTGAAATAATGGAAATTAAAAAAAAAATCATTCCAGAATGCAATAAAAGTGAAATAAATGACAGCCTTCCTAATGCACTGCAGGGTTGGATGGAGACTCGATCTAAAAGAAAGGTAAGTTTAATGGCACTAATTGGAGGCCTGGTGGGGCGGGTTAGGAGAGCTGCACTAGGGCATCCGTGGCGTTGCCGGAGACCCCAGTGGGCATCTCTTTTCTGGCAGTAAAACCAGTAGGCCCCGGCTGGGCCAGTGCAGGGGAAATCCTTAGCACATACTCAGGGCCTGGACGGTGTCTTGTGTGCAGATAATGGTCCTGAAGTTTCAAAGTTGGTGGTGGGGTCAGTGGAAGAGGGGATGGTGACCTCGAGTCACCTCTCCACCCAGTCCCCTACTGTGAGCATTTCCGTGTTCCAGCGGCAGCAGGTCCCCTTTGCCCTGTGTGCTCTCGCTGGTTGTTAGCAGGAAGGCAGGCAGAGCCGCTCTGGGCTTAATTGCACATGTCGTCTGTAGCTCATTGCCTGCTTGGGTGTGGGCTCTGGACAACCCTGGAGAAACCTCTCCCTGACTTTCCCAGGCAGGAGCACACGAGATGTACGTCTCAGCCATCTCTTCAGTGCTTTCAAGAGCTAAAGAGAGTGTATGGACTAGTCCACGTGGCAAATTACAGCGTTTACTAAACCGTGTGTATGTCTAGATACATCTCTCCATGCTCTCACTGCTAGACAAATGTTAACCTATCCCCTGTCATGATTTTAAGTTCTTACATGATCACTCAAGTTGTTCAGACACCTGCTGAGGCTGACGTCCTTGTATAAATTTGAGATGAATTTTGGCTTTGCAAGGCCCCAAGTGTTTATCCTGGCCAGGAGTGATAGACAGCCTGTGACAGGCTTACCAAACTCTGGTCTGAAATGCCTTTAATTTAGAAAGGGAAGTCTCATACACTGCTGATGGGGATATAAAGTGGCAAGGCGATTTTGGAAGATAGTTTGGAAGTTCCACAGAAGGCTAAACATTGGGTTACCGTGTCCTACAGTGATTCCACTCCAAGGTGTGAAACCAAGAGAGCTGAAGGTGGTCAGACACAGATTTGCGCACGGATGTTCATAGCAACATTATTAATCACAGCCAAGAAGTAAAAACAACCCAGGCGTCTATCAGCTGACCAACGAATAAAAAAAAATGTGATCTGTCTATACAGTGGGTATTATTTGGCCACCGAAAGGGATGAGGTACTGATATGTCCTGTAACGTGGATGAACCTTGAACCATTACACCAGGTGGAAGAAGCCAGTCCCAAAGGACCCCATCCTGTATGATTTCATTTCTATGAAATGTTCAGTAGAGCAGTGGTGGCCAGGTGTCGGGGGCAGTGAAACTGGGGAGTGACCGCTAATGGACAAGGGGTTGCTTTTGGGGAGGACGAAAGTGTCCTGAAGCTGACTATGGTAGTAATGGCTGCACTACTCTGTGAATCTACTGAGAACCAATGAATTGTACACTTTAGGTGGGCGAACTGTATGGTGTGTGGATTATAGCTCAATAAAGGTGTTAGATAGGTAGATGTACAGGGTCAGTCCCCCACCACGTGTACGTGGACAACACCCCGTGCTTCTCGATGAGAGACTGTGTCTGCTTTGTACGGACTACGTGCTAGAGCAGGGGTACAAAACCTTAGGTAGCCTTTTTTTATTCCTCTTAGAGGAGCGCACAATGCTTCATTGTAAATGGAAGGAGTAATGGTTTCAAGACAAATGAATAGAAAGTCAAGCTCATTTTTGTCTATAGTTGATAATATAATTGCATTAGTTTTATGAAATCTGAACAGAATTACAATTTAGGCCCCCAATTATCTGCCCGGACTGTTTAGGTTGTCAACTCTAATTATCCGAGCTCGCTTTAAGAAAGGTTGGGGAGTGTGCCAGCTATATTTCTTAGCAGCTGAACACTTGGGAGAAAAAACGGATTAATCATTACACACATGGTGATCCATTAGGGTACATTTGCAAGTTTCTTTAAAAGCGACTTTCGGAACCTTTCTCAATTTTTGGCTCATCCTTTTTTGTGCGGATTGTATTTTGCATTAGCACCTGCAGTGCGGAATTAGTTGTCCTTTCAATTCTAGTTTAGAGCGACACCTTCCCTTAGCTGCAGTCTGGAATGTAGGCTCCAAGCACCAGAACCAGCAATATTTTTCTTAAGAGCATCAGGAACCTCAGAGAATACTGGGAGGACATGAAGTTTCTATCAAGCATAAGGTTTCGGAGGTCGGAAAAGCCATTTCACTTAAGGTATTCTTAATGACCCCAGAAGGAAAGCATTGGATGGGCAGTGCGTCCGTAGGCTCATTCAGCTTCCTCTTACCTATAAATGCTTTGTGGATCCATCTGGAAGGATGGTAATTTGCTCCTTGGGACAGATTTTCCAGGGCACTGATAGTTCCAGATAGGCAGACCTCCGCCAACGTGTGTCAAGTACAAAGTGTTCTAGTCTTCAGCTTTGCAGTTGGTAAGGCACTAGGAACTGCCCTGGCTCCTCAGGTCCCATTAGCTTTTAGGAGACACCAGTTCCTTTGCAGGCATGACTGGAACCAGAACATTCTGCTGTGTTTGTGTGTAATGTGTTTACCAAGCACGCAGAGGGGGAACAGAAGCAAGCTTGGAGGAACCTCCTCACCTTCTGACTTCCTGTGTTTGTTCTGGAAATCAGACACGGGTTGCGATGAGGAAAATTCAAGTCTCTGCCTCGTTCAGATTACCTCCACATTCAATTAGAGAGAGGAACACATTTAATGTGTTGGGATAGGGGTTTACAGGCTTCCTTCCTAAGAGTGTGTGTTCTTTCCATATGGTTGTAGAATAAATTTGCTGTTTGAAATAGCAGGGATTATGGGGGTGTCATCAAGACTCTGCTTAATGGCAGGGCAGGATAATGATAGTAGCTAATAGGTATTGAGCTATGGGTAAGTTAATTGCTGTCCTCACATTATAGGGAAGGAAACTGAGGCTCAGAGCCTGTCCAGGGACCCACAGCTCAGAAGAAGCCAAGCAGGTCTGAATTCAGAGCTCTCTTAACCACATGCTGCCTTTCGGGGTACATAATGTCCCAGTTACAGGGTCAGACTGAGCTCCATGTTGTGCTTGATATTGGGACAGGAGGTAGTCCATAAATAGATACAGTTCTGTTTAGATCTGATTTCAAACCTAATGGTGTATGTAATTCTGCGATCACTTCTCTTAGTTTATGCCGCTGTTTGCTGAGATACCAGAGTTCATATTTCATGCAGGAAGCTAGACTGGCAAGCACAGCTTACAGGCTGATACTGATAATTAGTGATGCTCTCACTTAACTCAGTGGACCATTTGCCTTGGAAACCAGTGTGTAAATGGAAGTTCAGTAGTCCGTCATCCTGATCTACCTCTCTTGTCCTCAGTTTGGATACTGGCTGTAGTTCTTTTTTTAGCTATCTAGACATTTCAAATAAAACGTGTCCTCGGAGCGTCAATAGAGGGGAGAAATGCTGATGGGCTAATGGGACTTCTGGTGAATTGACTCCAATGTCTCCATCCAGGAAGACCCACTGGGCTCTTACTGACCAGCAAGGGTGCACCTTGGGTCTATGGTACGTTAGCAGGTTGTAACCCATTCCTCCCTTTCCATGTAGATATTGTGTCCGATTGGTCTCCGGTGCATGAAGCTGCCGTCCATGGGCGTCTGCTTTCCTTAAGGAACCTCATTGGCCAGGTATGTGGCTTTTGGGGAAAGAAAAAGACATATTAAGCATATCCTATTGCTCACCACACTGAGAAAAAAAATCAGAGTCTGATTAAGATATAAATTTTCTCTTTGGCAAAATGAGGTGAATCCTGTCCTACTTAACCATTTCTTTTTTTATGTGGAGGCTGGCATAAATATTAGAGTTTAGGACAGTTCTATGCACATCGTAGGCACTGTTAGTACCTACTAGGTGAATAACAGGCAGATTTGTGCATTCAGACTGCCTTCACTTTAATCGATGGGCTGTGTTTTTGAAAATAATCGTGTGAATAGTTTTTCTCAGGGACACGTGACAATGTCTGGAGACATTTTTGGTTGTCACGACTGGGAGCAAGGGTTGGGGGGGGCGGTGCTACTGGCATCGAGTAGGCAGAGACCAAGGGCCTCTCCAAGCATCCTACATTCGTTGCTCAGGACAGCCCTCTACATCAGAAAACTATCTAGCCCCAAATGCCAGTAGCATGGAGGTTGAAAGTTCCTAATGTCAAATAAATGCTTAAAAATGTGTTTTTATTGATTTTTATTTATTTATTTATTTATTTATTTATTTATTTATTTATTCATGGAGACACAGAGAGAGGCGCAGACACAGGCAGAGGGAGAAGCAGGCTCCCTGCGGGGAGTCTGATGTGGGACTCGATCCCAGGACCCCGGGATCACGTTCTGAGCCAAAGGCCGACGCTCAACCACTGAGCCACCCAGGTGTCCTGAAAATGTGTTTGTAGTCACATCATTTAAGAGGCATATTCAGTTTTATGGAAGCCTCTAGTTGATTGTGGCTCTGCCCAGTTGGATATTCATTTCTCTGCTCCTCTAGTGTAATTTCAAGTCCACATTAATTTGAGTTTTGCTAGTTTGAAATTAATGGGAACTTCAGTGAAGATATTTTTTAAAAAGGAGTTGAAATCACCATTCACGATTCTGATAAAGCTTTTGTTCAGAATTTTCTGTTTTCTAAAAAGGCTATAGGTCTTTTGGTGGGAGCTCTCAGCCCTTCCCATAACTATGGACCCTTTGGCAGTGTGGCAAAGTCCATGGACCCCTTCTTGGACTAGTGTTTTCAATGCACAAAGCACAATACTGAGAAGACCTTTCAAATTAGTAAAAGAACAAATGTGACATGATGATATCAACTGTATTAAATAAGAAGATTTTGTGGCGATGCCAGTAACTATCATATTTTCTAAGTAGGTTGAGTGCAGATTTTGAGATATTTTAGATGTCTCCAGTGATCGTAATACAGCGTAAGAGTCTGTGAGTCCTCTCAGTCATAGTCCTATATACTGCTATTACCACTGTGGTTTGTTGTCTGGATTCATAATGGAAGGACATCATACACTTTAGGTAGTTATTGGTGAAAATAAATGTTTTAAAATAAAGAAAATTCCAATTTCATGGACCTATCTAGACTCGGAAATGCTCCTGTAAGATAACAACTTCTAAAGACAAATTTCAGACTACCCTAAGCCACTATCTTAAGCTGTTTATGGTAGCAGAAGCCTATTATAAATAGAAATATAGATAGTAACACATAACTCTAGCCAAAAGCAGTTAAGCTGCTTCTCAGATAAAATGAAACATTTACCTTATTTTGATAGGTTGAAAAATGATCACTGTAGCTTTTATATATCACTTATTAAATTGGACCGATAATTCATTTATCTTCAGTATTTGTATGTTTACCACACATCGGATGGAGCCATTTCTTTATCTGAGCTCTATCACTTTATTTGAGCAACTTCTCTTCTTGGAACCTCAGTTTTGGCTTTCATAAAATGAGCATTTCAATAACTACCCGTATCAGATCCTGCTGGGTAACAAACCACCCCAGACTCAGTGGCATAATGCAATAAACATTGATTTCTGGCCTACGAGTCTTTGGGTCAGCCAGGCTAGGCTGGGCTTGTCTGCAGGCCATGGGTTGGGTGCAGCTCTGTCTCCCATTCCTCTTGGAGCCGTGGTTACCTGAGGAATTTTATTCTCATGGCAAAAGGCTGGAGCATGGCAGGGCAAGCCCAGCCATGCAGGGGTATTTCCAGCCTATTTATGTCACATCCACCAACATCCCATTGGCCAAAGCAAGCTGGATGATCAAGTCTGAAGTCAAGGATGAAGGAAGTACATTTTATCAATTATGAGGTGATGGCAAAGATGTGAATATAGGAGAGTAAAGAATTAAGACCAAAAATTCAGTCTGTTAGGCTACCTTATATGGGTTTGTGAGGATTAACTATAAATTACCTATTCCAGTTACCGTCATCACACATGGTATTTATTCTCTGATTGCGATCTAGTAACACTTTGGATAATCAAAACATAATGAAAAACATGGTTGATAAACCAAACATATTTTAGGAAGGAAAATAAGACCAAACATTCAAATGTCTGTGAAACAAAGAGAAAAGAGAAAAGAAAGAGGGAAGAAAGTCTTATTTGGCCCAAGAAGGGAGAAGTTGAATCTATGACTATTCTTCACCATGGCTTTGCATTGAAATAATCTGGGATGCTTTTAAAAAATAACAACGCCTGGGCCTCACTCCAGATATTCTGATTTAAACTAGGGCAGTCTTCATGCATTGGTAGTTTTTTTCTTTTTTTCATATTTTATTTATTTATTTGAGAGAGAGAGTAGGGGGAGGGGCAAAGGGAGAAGGAAAGGAAGAGACAACCTCAAGCAGATTCCCTGCTGAGCCCAACTTGGGCACTTGATCCCATGACCCTGAGACCATGACCTGAGCCACAGTCAAGAGCTAGATGCTTAACCAACTGAGCCACCCAGGTGCCCCCTGCATTGGTAGTTTTTATTTTTTTTATTTTTTTTTTAATTTTTTAATTTTTTATTTATTTATGATAGAGAGAGAGAGAGAGAGGCAGAGACACAGGCAGAGGGAGAAGCAGGCTCCATGCACCGGGAGCCCGATGTGGGATTCGATCCCGTGTCTCCAGGATCGCGCCCTGGGCCAAAGGCAGGCGCCAAACCACTGCGCCACCCAGGGATCCCGCATTGGTAGTTTTTAAAAAGCTCCTGTAGAACCACTAGGTTCAAGGATTCTTTTCTTATAAAAAAAAAAACCCATTATGACTGTAGGAGAGAGAGAAAGGCCTTTGGACATGAAAGAAATAGGTAAGTTGGATTTCATTAAAATTAAGGACTTCAACAAAAGGCAATATTTGAAAAAAAGGGCAATATTTGGAAAGCAAGGAGGCAAGCCACAGACGAGAAATTATTTGCTATATATATATATATATATATATATACATATATATCCATCCATCTATCCATCCAATGACGGCTCATATTCCTTGTCTAAAATCAATACAGAAAATGCAGGCAACCCAACAGAAAAATGAGCAAGAGACTTGGACTGGCACTTCATAAAAAAGGATATCCAAATATTCAGCAAATGTATCAAACTATGCTGATTAGTGATCGGGGTAATTCAGATTACAAGTAAGATATTGTATTACCAGCTCCTCCCACTAGAAGGGGTAAATTTGAAAAGACAGATAATACCAAGCTTCTTTACCTGTGTAGTGAGAACATGTATATTTTCTTTATGATAATTCCTTGAGATTTACACTTAGGATTTACGGATTTTTCTTTATTGCACTTCAATAAAAATTTATTTAAAAAACAGTAGCAGTTTGTTAGATCAGCAGAAAGCAAGTAAGGTACCGCTTGACCATGTGGTGTGACCTTAATTTGGTGGTTCTCAGTCTGGACTGCACGTTAGAATAGCCTTGAGATGTCTGGGTTAAGGTGAGGCTTTAAAAATACTGATGCCTGGGGACGCCTGGGTGGCTCCGTCAGTTAGGCATCTGCCTTCGGCTCAGGTCATGATCCCAGAGTCCTGAGATCGAGCCCTGCCATCGGCTCAGCTGGGAGTCTGCTTCTCCCTCTACCCCCTCATCCTGCTCCTTCTCTTTCTCTCTCTCTCAAATAAATAAATAAAATCTTTAAAAGAAAATACTGATGCCTGACTTCAGCCTCCTTTGATTATATGCTAAGTGCTCTGGGATGCAGCCTGGGTATCAGGACTTTCAAAGCTCCCCGTTCCACGGCCCAGTGGAGACTGAGAGCCTTAGCAATAAGGCCTGGCTGCAAGCGGTGGTGAAGACTGGCTTTTCTGTCCCTCGGATACAACTCTTTTTTTAAATAATTTTTAAAAATATTTTATTTATTCATGAGAGAGAGAGAGAGAGGGGAGAGAGAGAGAGAGAGAGAGAGAGACAGACAAGAGACACAGGCAGAGGGAGAAGCAGGCTCCATGCAGGGAGCCCGATGCGGGACTCGATCCCGGGACTCCAGGATCACACCCCGAGCTGAAGGCGGCACTAAACCACTGAGCCACCCGGGCGCCCCTCTTGATGTCACCCCCTGCAATCCTCAAAGGGCTAAGTTACTACTGAGTGGAAACGAGGAAAGATCCCAGTGTTCTGAAACATCAGATCTTTCGGATGTGGCAGCTAACTGAAGGCTAAGTGGTAAAGAATACGAAGAAATCTCAGATCATGACTGCCTGGCAATTACAGAGGGCTAAGCATGCATCATTTCATGGTCCTCGTAACAACCTTATGGGGTGGGTACAGTTGTCCCCATTTTACACGTGAGGAAACAGGCTTGGGGGGATAAGTAACTGGCTCAAGGTCACACTGCTTGTTGGGTGCTCCCTGCTGAGCATTTGAACTTGGAATCAGTCTGCTCCCCTCCCTCTGAAGTCTCCCTCCTAGGTATGAGACAAGATAGTGGTGCCATTCAGAGGATTCGGGCTGGCCAGACAAGGAACCCTTTTCAGGGAGAGTTTGGTTGTTGGCAGAGGCTGAGTTTACGTTGTTAGTTGGGTCTCCCGGTGGTTATGTCTTAGCAGGGACCTAGAAACATGTACTGGGGTAGAGATTGAGTTTTGAAAGCCGTATACTATTATATAGAGAGGATTGAGAGAAGAAAAACGGATTTGAGGGCAAATCCTTGAAATGCCAGTGTTAGGAGATGTCAGGGGGAAAAGGACAGTTAGTGAGAGAGACAGAAAAAGGACGAGAGGAGGTGAGGTAGAGGTTGTTCAGGGAGAGCTTGGTTTCAGCCAGAGGAGGGGTTTCGTGAGGTTGGGATAGATACATAGCAAATTCAGAGGTGGAAAGGGGGAGGACAGAGCAACATATATTGGATTCCACAAGGAGGGAGTCTCTGGTGATCTTTAAAAAGCAGTTTCAGTGGGATCGTGTTGGTAGATGAGAGAAGGGCGAGAAGTAGAGATTATGGGGAAGTATTTTTTTAAAAAGTGGGGAGAGGGAGCCAAGGGGAGAAGAACATCGGATGGAAGTTTGGTAGAGGGTCAGGAACAAGGATGGGAAGACTTCAAAATGCGAGAACAAAGTGTGGCCAAGAGGAGAGAGCTGGGGGACACCTCTGAGGAGGTGGCCAAAGGCAAATGACGAGGTGGCGGAGGGCCGGGCTGAGGTCACGGGCTGTCGGGGCAGGCTCGGAGAAGGGAGCAGTGGAAGGATCGAAGACTGCAGACAGGCAGAGGTTTCAGGGGTGGCAGGAGAGGAATGTGAGAAGCTCTCACATCAAGTGGCTTTGATCTCCTGGCTACAGTAGAAGGGGCGGTGTGTTTGATGAACGCGAGAAGACAGGTGTCCATGACCACCTTCCACCCAGGGTGTAGACAATGATGTGTCCCTTGTGACAGGACAAAGGAAGAAGCCCGACCTTCTTGGAGTCTTCGAGTTGGTTCAGGCGGCGTGTACATAGGACTTGAGGCTGGGACAGAAAGCTGCCGGGTACGCAGCACTGTGTCGTTGTGGCTGCCCTGACATTGCCCAGCCCTGTGGCCCCATCAAAAAGCGCATCTGATCACAGGCTGACCTGAGGGACAATCAATGATAGAAAAATTAGAGATAAGCCATTTAACTTTTTTTTTTTTTAAGAAACCTGAGAACCCACTGCGGACTGGACCCTGTGTGAAGTAATGGGCTAAAAATCACCTTACAATATTCTTCGATTCAGATTTGTCGATAATTCAGACAAATTGCCACAGTTCCTTTAACGTGGCACTGTGGCTCAATGAGGAACTGTACATGCAGTCCTAAATTTGCAGAGTGAACCTTAATGGAAAGGAACCTCTTTGTAATGTGCTTATGTAAGGTGGGGTGAAAACTTCTTGTATTGTGACTGATTTCTTTGGCATTTTCACTTACCTGGGTTTATGTATAAGCACCCAAATGATTGCTTAGAAATGGCAGTGGGAAAGTAAAAAGAAAGAGAGAGAGATGGAAAGAGAGAGAGAGAGAGAGAGAAAGAAAAAGAAAGAAAGAAAGAAAGAAAGAAAGAAAGAAAGGAAGAAAGGAAGAAAGAAAAAGAAAGGAAGGGCAGGATGCCTGGGTGGCTCAGTTAAGCCTCTGCCTTTGGCTCAGGTTATGATCCCGGGGTCCTGGGATCGAGCCCCTCATTGGGCTCCCTGCTCAGCAAGGAGTCCGCTTCTCCCTCTCCCTCTGCCGCTCCCCCTGCTTGTGCTCCCTCTCTCAAATAAATAAATGAAATCTTTAAAAAGAAAGAAAGAAAGAAATGGCATTGGTGACTAGAGAAGTACATTTATAATAATGGAACACCTAATACATAATTCCTTTAAAGGACAGTCTTCTTTCATCCCATAATCTGTTGCACAGGGGGATATGGATTTCTTGTGTACTCTAGCAGTGTGAATGGAAGAGATTGGACAAAGATAGAGCATTGAGAGGGGGGCAGAAATGCATCTGAGAACAAATCTTAGAGGGGATACCTCCAATTACATAATACAATTAGAATGACAATAATAAAATAACTCAGTTCTTCTTGAGTTGGTGCTCAGTAAGCATTTATTCAGTGCTCATTGGGTACAGATGGGATGCTGGGTTACAGGTGGGAAGATTTAGTCGCTTCCCTCCCTGTGAACAGCAGGGCCGGGGGGGCAAAATACCATAGTGGATGTTGGAATTTCTCATTTACAATTGGATTATTTCGAGTCTCCCAGAACCCCTCATCAAGCCAACCCAACGAAAGGCTCTGGATTCAGTATACTAAATCCTGTTGACTCCAGAGTATGTCCAGAATTATTGGACCTCTCAAAATCGATGAGGTCACCCATCACAGTAAAAACCGACAGGACAGGATGATCAGGATGCTGATGGACTCATAGATGTCTGTACAAGTAGAAGAATGTGTGTTAGGAATGATGCTGTGGGAGGTAATTTATTGGAATGATTTTAGGCAGATCTAAACTGTTATGGGAAGAAAAGGTACAGTGTATTACCAAGCCATTAAACTAATGTTCTTAACTAATGTGTCCCAAGAAAAAGAACTTTTATTGTACCCAGTTTCCTCCTGTTAAAGGTAACTATTCCGCGATCGGGGGTGGGGGTGGGGGTGGGGGAGGTCTATGGAGCCTCTCCTGGAGTTCTTTTGATGTTTTGCTTGGATTGGGCTCATAATCATCTCAAGAGCACATTTTCCAAGGGGTTGATGAACCCCAGGGCCTTCAGAGAAGTTTCTTGGTTCTTTGGATCTTGAGTACCTGGAGTGAGAACCTAATTGCCCCTCCGCCTTGGAACTTCCTGCTGTCTGTCTGTGGGGGTTCACCTCATGCTTTGGCCCTGCATTCGTCATCTCTTGCTGTGTAACAAATTCCCCCCAACCTCAGCAGCTTAATGTAATAGACCTGTATTAGCTCACAGTGTCTGTGGGTCAGGAATCTAGACACAATTTACGTGGGTCAGGGACTCATAAGAGTCTGCAGTCAAGGTGAGGGCTCGAGACGTAGACATTTTAAGGCTTGACTAGAGATGGACACGAGTTGTAACTCACATGCCTTTTGGCAAGATTCAGTTCACCCTGGGTGGCAGTTGGCTGGAGACTGTTCTCCGTTCCTTGTCTTGGACCTTCTCAACAAAAAGCTAGCAAGTGGGAGGACAGGAGCAAGTGAGAAGAAGAGAAAAGTCTAGAATGTGTATCCCTAAGAGTCAAATTGCTGGGTCATAGGGATGCATCTCGTCAACTCTAATAGGAGACTGTGCAACTGTTTCCCTGTATATCATATGATACTTCCACCAGCAACATGAAAGTTCCTTTTTTTAAAAGATTTTATTTATTTTGACAGAGAGACTGAGAGAGAAAAAGTGCACAGCAGGGGCAGAAGCAGGGGGAGAGGGAGAAGTAGGCTCCCTGCTGAGCAGGAAGCCCAGCCGGGGGCTTGATCCCAGGACCCTGGGCTCATGGCCTGAGCCGAAGGCAGACTCTTAACTGACTGAGCTACCCAGGCACCCCGAGAGTTCCTTTTTTGTTTGTTTGTTTTAATGTCATTAGCAACACCTTACCCTACTCTCCGACTGTGAGCCAGGTTAACTTTAAAAGCACGGTCATAGCACTGGATCTGTGGCTGAAAACCCACCCTATGAAACTATTGCTTTGTACCCCTTACTCTGCTCATTTCCTCTCCTCCAGGGATGGCCTGTGAACCTCATCACAGCAGATCGTGTGTCTCCCCTTCATGAAGCCTGTCTGGGAGGCCATCCCTCTTGTGCAAACATTTTATTGAAGCATGGGGCTCAGGTAAGTGCAGCTCACATAAATGTCTTAGAAACCGTGAATGACAAATGACGGTTCCTATCCCTTTTGAATGATTTCCAGCGTTTTTGACTAGTCCGATTTGAAGGTTGAAGAGAGGCGTTTTTCCAAAGTATTATGTCCATCAAGCTTCTTTGCTTTAGCGATAGACGAAGTACTGAATTTTTAGCTAGAAAGTAGTGGTGGTTTGAGTCTGCATCATTTTCTTGAACAGTCACTACTAATAAATAACTGTTAGATTTCGCCTTCATTCCTATGGCTGGGAGGTAATGAAATATTATGGAAAATATGGAATGTTTGGCTCCAGAGGACCTGAATAATGGTCCCAAACCATGTCTACCATTTTCTAATATTGAAAACTGGAATAAGTTACCGAGGCTCTGAGCTTTCAAGTCCGTATCTGAGAAGAGGGGGGAAATGACAGTGAAGCTGTGTAAGCTTGCTGTGGTTTTGTGAGGATTGAGGGAAGTGAGGTATTTGATTTTTACTTAGAGAATGAGAATCAGGATGGCATAATGAGATCCCTTCCCTAGGATCTCAGTAGGTCCCTACCGGAAAGTGGGGACCAGTAAGTCTTCCATTCACTAAGTCCCCTCGAGGTCAAAAGTGACAGACAAGTCTGATTAGAAAATTACATATGTGGGTTTCTCATGTTCTCTCAACCTGTATTTCCTGAGCATTTGTTACGTGCCTGACCCTGGATGAAGATCCTTAGGAACTTATAAATTAGATGAGGACGCAGCGGGATAAATAGGCGAATTAACGAATATCACACTCGTCACATTAATAGATAAACCCTGAAATCTCGGTGGCCTGGTACAACACAAGCTTATTTCTTACTGAACTGAAACTCCAGTAGGGGTGTTCCTGGTTGGGTGCTCTTTCCTGGGGGTGATTCAGGCACACAGATTCCTTTCATCCTGTCACCCTGCCATCTTCAACAAGTGGCTTCCACGTATGCTACCAGTAGTCACCTCCACTCCAGGAGTTTGGAAGGAGAAAAGACGTGGAGGGTTGTGCACAGAGGACTTTTAAGGGCCTATCTTGGCCGTGGCGTATGTCACTTTTGGCCCCACATCCCATGGGCCAGAACTCGTCTCATGGCCTGGGAAGCTGGGGAGTGTAGTCTGGCTGTGTGCCCAGGAGAGCGAGCGGAAGTAGCTTTGTTGGATGCACATATCTGCCACAGCGGGCAGTTACCAAACATTGTTTCTTCCTTTTATATTTGGCTGTGTAACAAGCCACCACAACTGAATGACTTAAGACAACAGCCATTTACTTATCTCACAGTTCCTGTGCCAGCCAGATAGGTCTGACCTGGCCTGGTTCGGCTGACCTCAGCTGGGCTTACTTAGGCCTTGAAGGTTAGCTGACAGGTTGGCTGGGGAGGGCCGCTTCACAATGACCTTGGCTGGGATGGCTGGGGTGACAAAATCTCTGTGTGGTTTCTTATCCTTTCACAGGCAGCCTGGCCTGGTTCCCATGGTAGCAGGCATGCCTAGAGCATCAAAAAGAAGGCAAGCTCTCATTTGCCATTGTCCCACTGGGCAAAGCAAGTCCCATGGGTGAGCCCAGGTTCAAGGATTGGAAAAGTAGTCTCCATCTCTTGATGGCAGGAATTGCATTGCTGCATGGCAAAGGGATATGCAGACAGTGCGGAGAATCTGTGGCCATTTTTGCAAACCACCACCTTGTGGCAAGCGTGAGTGCTGTGATGGGGGAGAGGAAGTCTGAAGAGGCTTCCTAGGAGGAATGATGTCTAAGTTGAAACTCAGGGATCCCTGGGTGGCGCAGCGGTTTAGCGCCTGCCTTTGGCCCAGGGCGCGATCCTGGAGACCCGGGATCGAATCCCACATCGGGTCCTGGTGCATGGAGCCTGCTTCTCCTTCTGCCTATGTCTCTGCCTCTCTCTCTCTCTCTCTCTCTCTCTCTCTCTCTCTCTCTCTGTGACTATCATAAATAAATAAAAAAAACTTAAAAAAAATAAAAAAAAATAAGTTGAAACTCAAAGGATCTATTGGAATCAGCCAGTTGACTGGTGGGTTGGGGCAAGTTGTGTGCTTCCCGCCCACTGGGAAGGGCTGTTGTAAAGGCCTGAAAGTGAAAGTGAGCAATTAAAAAAATAAATTTCAAATCGCTCCTTAAGGCAGTAGAGTGGGTAAGAGGGGCCAGCACACAAACAGCCTTGTTGTCCTTGCCAAGAAAATGGGCTTTGTCCTGAGAGTAGTAGCAGAGAGCCATCGGTGAGTGCATCATCGGGTTTATATAGGGTTTGAGAAAACCCACTCCACGTGTGGAAACAGGACCAGGACTCAGGGGAGGCCTAAGGGCACCTAGGATGCAAGCTCTGGAGAGCCACTGCCTCTCAGGGTTGTTGAGCACTTGCGTGGGCCTGGGAGGGAGGGTCTCCTTAAACTTTGCACCCGGGACATCTTCTGTGCCTCACTAGTCCTGGCCTTCCTTGGAAATGGTTTGTGAGAAGGCTCTTCTCGTCTGCAGTATAGCTTCTCTTAACAGTGTAGAAAAGTTGCATTTGGCTTTGTTCTTCCCTATTTGGTTATAGCCCAGACACTGTGAAGTCAGATGCAAACTGCAAGTTTCTGTTGGGTTTCCCACGTTAGGAAAAATGGCCCCAAAGACTGTAGTTTTCTGTCCCTGAAGGACGGTAGCCAGTCTTGTATCTGTTAGCAAATTTATTTCAGCATTAATTGACTGACTATATAAATTCCCCTTTGAGCCAGCCTTACCATCTTCCTGGTTCTCTCCCTAATGAACGAATTGAAGGAAATCTTTGGCACGTATTCACCCTATATTTCTGTGAAAGTCGTGTTTTAAAATAAAAAAAATAATGTTAATAATACATTCCTCTCACTACTGTAAAGGACGCTGGACTGGTGTGGGACAGGTCTAGGATGGAACATTTAAAACAAGGAGAGGAATTTGTAAGCTATATAGGATCATCCCAACTGGCTTCAGAATTCCTGTTCCTGGGGGCGTGGAAGTGATAGAACATTAGGCAACATGTTCGGTGCCTCAGCTCATTCGGTTTTTCACAAACTTGTGGAATTTGGTTGTTGTTGTTTGTTGTTGTTTTTTGGAATTTGCTATTTTTGTCGTCATGTTATAGCCACGGAATGGGAGGCTCAGGGAAGTCAAGCAACAGCTCGAAAGGAGTGGAGGCTAAATTTGAACCCGGGCCCCCACCACCTGCCTTCAGCCTGGCGCTCTTCTTTCCAGGTGGATGGTGTTACCACCGACTGGCACACCCCTTTGTTCAATGCGTGCATCAGCGGCAGCCAGGACTGTGTGAATTTGCTTCTGCAGCATGGGGCCAGCCCCCACGCCGTGAGTGACCTGGCATCGCCCATCCACGAAGCTGCTAAGAGAGGTAAATCTATGGAGAATTTATGTTTTCCGCCTCTCCTTCCGCAGACATCTTACTGTTGCAAGGACGAAGCAAGCGGAGGGATGGTTTTGAGGGACCTTTTCTCAGTGTGAGGTCCTGGGACCGGAAGCATCCACCTGGCCTGGCGTGCAATTGCAGACTCTTGGCCCCCACGCCAGACACACGGAATCAGCAACTCCAGGGTGGGGCCCGGCCATGCGTGTTTTGTTTAGCAAGCATCTAGGTGATTCCGATGCACAGAAAGTTTGGGAACCACCCTTTCGGAGCATCTGGAAAGTTGTTCACTGCTGTAGTTCTGGAACGGGGTCTGGCACATAGTAGAACTATCCATGCATATTTGTAGAATATATTGTTGAACCCATGACCCCGTACAAATCCAATTATTTTGTAAAACACCCTCTACTCTTCTGTTTTCGGGCCTTAAAGAATATTGTCTCAGGGCCACCTAGGTTTTTTAAGTGAAGCACACTTTGGATTTTTGGAAAATAAGGTGCCATATACGGCTGGGGTTAATTCTCCACCACGCCTGACTCTATCGAGGTATACCTGATAAAGTTGTATTTCTTTCGGGTGTACTAACATGATGACTTGATAGACACCCACATTATGAAGCAGTTGCCACAATGAAATTAACGAAAACACAGTTACCATTTTTACGTGTGGGGAGAACACTTAAGATGTATCCTCTTAGCAAATTTCAAGTATACAGTATTGGTATTATTGCATAATGTTGGACATTAGATCCCCAGCACTTACTCAGCTTGGGGTAATTCTTTTTTTTTAAGATTTTATTTATTTATGAGAGAGAATGAGAGAGAGAGAGAGGCAGAGACACAGGCAGAGGGAGAAACAGGCTCCCCACAGGGAGCCTGATGCGGAACTCGATCCCAGGACCCTGGGATCAGGCTCTGATCCAAAGGCAGATGCTCAACCGCTGAGCCACCCAGGCGGCCCTGGGGTAATTCTTTTTCATAAAGTCACAGTTTTCCCGATATTCTTAACTCGGGCACAAAAATACAATGGCAAGTTTTGCTTCTCCCCAGCGTCCATTGCCGCCGTCATCCCCATCCTGACCGCATGCTGCCAGTAGGGTCTTATTTCCCCGGCGGCTTTCACAGAATGGCTCCCCAGTCCTATTTGACTGAATCCCTCTGTAGGATCACAATCTCCCAAAGCATTGACGTTTCTTCTTCAAGAGATGCATCAACTCAGCATCTTCCCCAGATGCGTGGAACTCAAATGATTTTATGCAAAGAGGAAGGCAGAGGAGCAATGTTTGAGGTGTGGCATTGTAGCCCGAGCAAGAGCTTTGGTTCAGCTTTGAGCAAACTTGGGTTGCCAGACGGGGCCCCTGCCAGTCGGGTTTGGCAACTGCTTGTCGCCTCGCCTGTGGCCTTGGTGGCCTGCCTGGAGCTCCGAGGCTGCCTCACACTCCCTGCAGCGCCTCCCCCACCCACGTCCCCTCGCCTGGGCCGCCTCCCCCCCCCCCCCCCCGTCTCTGTGTCTGGCATGGTGCGGCTGACAGCCCTGGGCTGGAGGAAGTAGCTTCGGGTCCGGGGTCCGAGCGAGTGGAGGCGCACAGCCCACAGGGAGGGCTGGGTTTCCGGGCCGACAGACGGTGCTGAAGCTGTCTTTGCTCTGTCTTGGGCTGCAGGCCACGTGGGGTGCCTGGAGACCCTGGCCGCGCACGGGGGCGATGTGGACTACAACATCAGCCACCTGGGCACACCGCTGTACCTGGCTTGTGAAAACCAGCAGGTAGCCTGCGCCAAGAAGCTGCTGGAATCAGGTAAAACTAAAAGCACACGACCAAAGGAAAGGAAAGGAAAGGAAAAAGGAAAAAGGAAAAGAAAGGAAGGGAAAGGAAAGAAAAGGAAAGGAAAAAGGAAAGGAGTTTATTTTTTGTGTATTCTTAAAATATATTTATTTTTATTTATGTTTAAACATTTTATTCATTCATTCATTCATTCATTCATGAGAGACAGAGAGAGAGAGAGAGGCAGAGACATAGGCAGAGGGAGAAGCAGGCTCCCCGCGGGGAGCCCAATGTGGGACTCGATCCCCAGTCCAGGGTCACGATCCCCAGTCCAGGATCACGCCCTGAGCCCAAGGCAGACCCTCAGCCCCTGAGCCAGCCAGGCATCCCTAAACATATTTTAAAGCTGTTTGCATCCTGGGGAGGGGGCGGGGGTGGGGCACGCAGAGTGTGGGCCACGGAGGCGAACAGGATCGGGGTTCACAGTGACTGGGTCCCCGTGGAGAAATGTCTTATGCTGTTTGCACTTTCGTTCTTTCACGTGTGATGAGGATAATGATGCCAATCGGATCTGCTCCCAGGGTGGTCCTCGGTGATTCTCTGCCCCCCTCCCTTCCCTGTCGCCTCCCCCACTGCGCAGGTCACGCTTTTAGCCCTGGAGGACTGGCAGGGCTGCTGGAGCACGGCTGCTGGAGCACGGCTGCGCCTCCCCCCAGGGCCTTGCTCGCCAGTTCGCCTTCATTTGCAGATTCCACCTGCCTCATTTTTAGCTCATTGGAAATGTTGTTTTCCTCCAGAAGGCCTGTGGAGCGTCCTTTTTTTTCCCCCACCCCCTGCTGTTGTCCAGACCCTCCTTCAACCTCCGATGTCCGTTTTGTCACCCCTGTAATTACCTGAGTCCTGCTTATTCTTTACAGCTCCAGTAACCCTTCCCTTGAATGCTTCTGTGGTTCTTGTTGCCTTCCACTCATGTGGCAGCAATAGCCGTGAATTAGGAGCTTCATGCTCCTTCTCTCTCTCTCCCACCATCCCTCCCTCTCCCCCGATGCTCTATGTAGATTTAAGCTCTTAGGAAAGGGCAGGGTTTCGCATCCCTCATAAAACCAAGAACAGTACCAGAACAACCCAGTTACAATTTGTCGAGTGGACGCAGGTTTCCATTTTACTAGGGGGACAGCAGCTGAGACAGAGTCACGTGTCCCCACATGTCCCAGTGGGAGCCAGCATCCGGTCCGGGTGGGGATTTGTAGAGTGTCAGGATGGAACTGGCTTGGGATGGTCCTAGAAATCCACCTTATTCCCGAAGAGGAGGACTGTGCCATCTTCCCCGTGACCTTGGAATTGGCTGCCCTCACCTAGGAGATGCCCTCACAAGCCAGTCGCTCTTTGCAGTTTAGATTACACAGTCCCGGGTCCCAGGTTTTATAGCAGTGGCTCGGCGTGTGAGTGTGGCTGCGTGGTGTGATAGATGAGATTTCACTGTATGAAAGTGAAAAGCCTCACTCGCAGCTTGTATGGCTAATACGTACACACTACAATGATGCACGTGCGGCTTGCATGCCTCCAGCATTTTTCTCATACGTAGCACACCTATGGCTAGCACTCAAAGGCAAAAATTTTTTTTTATTAAAGATTTTATTTATTTGAGAGAGAGCGAGAGAGCGCATGAGCCAGTTGGGGGGGAGCGGCAGAGGCAGAGGGAGAAGCAGGCTCCCCCTGAGCAGGGAGCCTGATGCAGGGCTCGATCCCGGGACCCGGGGACCACGACCTGAACTGAAGGCAGCTGCCCAACCGACTGAACCACCCAGGCGTCCCCAAAGGTGACCTGGTATGCTACATAGCTCATGTTGTACCTTTAGTCACATTGTCAAGTGGCACTTTCCCCGTATTATTAAATGGAATCAAGTCGTGTCCCATTGTTTTCCAGGATTGCCGTGCCCACTATAGAAGTCCCTTTGTGAAGGAATTTGAGGCATAGGGCTTGGAGAAGGGGGACGCTTGGGCTCAGCTTCTTGGCTGACTGTGTTATTCTTGTGACTGTTTAGGTGCAAGCGTGAACCAGGGCCGGGGTCTGGATTCCCCTCTTCACGTGGTGGCCAGGGCATCCAGCAGGGAGCTGGCACTCCTGCTCATGGACTTTGGAGCAGACACCCAGGCCAAGAATGCCGAAGGCAAACGTCCCTTGGAGTTGGTGCCTCCCGAGAGCCCTTTGACCCAGCTTTTCTTGCAGAGAGAAGGTGCTTCTCCTTTGCCCGAACCTAAGCCCTAATCCATAGCTCTTATGGGCTGTAGCAAGAGGCAGGTACTTACCAAGTTCTGACTTCCAGTACTATGTGAAAAATTGTTCTCGGCCGTCATCAAACGTGGAGAGCTGAGATTATTGAGTATTCAACAAGGTATGGTACTGGTTATGTGGAAAAGAACCATCTGTTGTGTGGAATGTAGGAGACAGGCTGTTTTGGAGGATCTAATATTCATATATGAGGTAGGCCACCTTTGAAAGGATTAACATAGTATTGAGAAATTTTGATATTAAAGTTATCTAAAACATGCTATAGGATGATGCAATAGAATCCTCTTTGGGGTAGTCCAGTGCCCCTGGGACACCTTACTGCTCTACGGACGGGCCACACTACTGGGAAGTGGGTTTCTGGGGGGCAAAAATGCTACTCATTAAGTGCTATAAGCTACTCCTTTCAGGATTTACAGCAGTCTGAAGGCATTTGTTATTGCAAGTCTGTCAACACCTAAGTCCACACCTCTGCAAATAAGAACCAGTCCTTCTGACCCAAACAACTAAACATTGTCATTGAGTGCTGTGCAGGGGGGTAGGGCTGTGAGGTCGGGGGTGGGCTGGGGTGGGGAAAAAAGACCCCGCAGATGGTATTCATAATTGTCCCTAGAAATGGAGAGCAGCCAGTTCAGGACCTGCTTTTTTTTTTTTTTTTTTTTTACTAGAGTGTGGACTTTGTTAAGTTTTCGAGGTTGTGAGACTTTGAAGCAGGCTTCCCTACCAGAGGGGTTCTGATGGCAGGTTGTCTGGTTATCGCCTGCCTGCATGCTGAGAATTAGGCCTAGCTCTGTGCAGAATTATAAAGCAGCCACAGAATCACTTCTTCCTCCCACTCCAACTGCTCAGGGTACTTGCAGCCAAAGCCCTGCCTTAGGGGCCCCCCAACAAGGCCTGTCCCCTTTGAGCAGCATCAGGCATAAGGAACAGTTCAATAGAAACCCCTTTAGGTTAAGCAATGGGATAGTCACCACTTTAGGTTAAGCAGTGGGATAGTCACTGCATTTTGATGATTTGTTTTAAAAAAATCTATATAGGGCCTATTTCTCCAACAGGACAGATGGCACAATGCTTGGGGCCCATGATGTGATTAGGAGCGCACAAAGATGTTTTCATTTCTTTTAAGATCCAAAGGAAGAAAGGGATAAACTTCAACCTGGATTATGTTCGTCTGTATACCGACACAGTCGTAAAATACAACTTTTTAAAATTGGGAATGAGATTCACAAAAGCAACAGCGTCTCCTGGCTCTCTAAAGTCACAAAGTCATGTGTACGCACACACATGCGCACACGTACATGCATATACGTGCGCATGTGCGTAAGTGTACCCACACATATAGAATCCCTCATCCCCTGCCTCAGTAAATAATCCCCTTGGATTTTCAGATTGCCTCCACTGACTCTTCCCTTCCACTCGATTTCCAAAGGCCATTTGTTGGCACCTACATTGCCCTTGATTCCTTTAACTCCCATTTTGGTGACAGTGTGGTCAGTGATCCCACTGGTTTCTAAAATGTCATTTGCCACTGGAGAGAATCACTGCTGCTTTGGCCTCCATGCGTCGTTTTTGGGGTTTTGGTGAGGTCGCCTCTCAGCAGTCTGGAAGGCCACAGGAAATGAGGCCAGGCAAGTGCAGGGAGCCAGACCTGCAGATATAACACAGCAAATTCTGTCTCTGGATGTCCCTGCAGAGGAGTTCAGGATTGCCACCCCACCGGCCTTGGAAAGCATGTAAAGCAGTGTTTACTCATGGCACACAATGAAAACTGAAAATGACTCTCAGCCCAGCATGACAGGAGCCACCCTTGAAAGCACTTTGGCTTTAAAGCATCCTGAGTGTTGCTGGGGGTGGAGGCCTGGGGGGAAGAAATCGAGACCAAAGCAATATGCCAATTCATAGATTAAAAAAATTAGCTGGTTTTATTACTGAGTAAAGGGAACTGCTTGAACACTTGCAGGTGCCAGTAAGTGGCTGCAGAGCTGTAGTGGGTTTCCAGCTCTATTTATATGGGATTAAGGCTACAGTTGTGCATCATCCCACTTCGAGGAAACGGCAGATATTCAATCTGTATCAGTAGTTGCGCTGAGCTTACGCTGTCGTCCTGCTTTTCTGCATTGCCCAGCGTTTATCATTACCTCCCGCGGTTGTCCCTGACAGTGTATCTAGTGCACATGATTTGTCACGTCCTTCAACTTCCCCAGTGAGATGAAATTAAGTCTAGTTTCCCACCCTGTAGTTTTGGCAGTTTGTCCATCTGTGTGCCTTGGGTACACTGGGAAGCAGCTCGTCAGTATATGCCTTGAGTCCAACTGACCGTATCTGGAAGGTGCCCTAAATCCCAACGGGGGCCTTCTGAATGTGCTGTGAGGTCCCCATTGACAAGACTGCATTTTGTGTCTTTGATAGTGGAGGTATCTCTTTCCACCTGTCCTTCGTGCCATCACCCGAGAGCTAGGCAACCCACCCCACCCCGCAGCTTGTAGGAAAGCCGAGGCCATACTGTATCCTTTTGCTTGTTTTCTCAACCTTGGCTCCACAATAAGATGACCTGGGGCACAAGCCTTTAAAAACTCTTGTGCACACCCCCCCAACATTAACTGAAGCCACAGCTCTGGGGTGGGACCCAACAGTGCGGTCTAAAGCTCCCCCTGATAGGTGATTCTGAAATGCAGCCCGGATTGCAGGGCCACTGCTCTATGGGATTCTTGATGGTATATAGCTTTGCTTGTGTGTGTGTGTGTGTGTGTGTGTGTGTGTGTGTGTGTGTATAATAACCAAGAGAGAATTCCATTTACAGTTTGGTACAGGCGGTCAGGGGTGGATAGGAAGTCATGTCTCATCCTTCTACTCTCTAATGGGGTTTCTTAGCCTTAGCACCATCAACAGGATGTCTAGTGGCCTCCCTGGCCTCTACCCACTAGATGCTAGTAGCCCCTCCCTCCAAGTTGTGACAAACAGAAGTGTCCCCTGACTTTGCCATGTGTCTTCTCCTTTTCCCCTCCACCCAACCCCCTGTTGAGACCCACTGTCCTAAACTGTAAAGTCTTGGCTGGTTACTTTTCACCTGTGAGTTGAAGCATTGGGTTAGCCCTGCGTGCAGAATAAAAAACAAATATGACTTAATAAGATAACATACCCTTAGGCTTCACTGATAGCTCATTATATTTGAATATCTTAAAATTGCTAAATTATAAACATGCATCTAGAAATGCCTTTTTTTGGAAATACCTTATTTTTTAAGGTAAAATACAAGAAAGCTGTGAAACATGAATTTTATTTGCATCATTGGGAATTTTGTGTGGCTTCATAATTCCAAAATTAGCTGCCTTCAGCCTCCATTAGTGAGGCTGAGCTTTGATTTTTTTTTTCCTTCCCGGCTGTTCTAAATCAAAACCTAACAAGCTCATTTCAATTAAATACCAGCGAAGAGAGAACGTGGCCTAAAAATGCCTCCTTAGAAACCCAGAACATGGTCTTAAGCAGAACCACGTTATTTCCCTAGGACAGTGTTACAGCTCGTCTGCTTTAGAAGGAGAGGAGAAGTAGCCTTAGATCAGTGACACCAACATGTGGCTTGTCTTGCATTCTTTCTCCAGGGCCACCTTCTCTGCTGCAGCTCTGTCGCCTTAGAATCCGCAAGTGCTTTGGGACCCAGCAGCATCATAAGATCAACGGACTGGTCCTCCCAGAGGAGCTGAAACGGTTTCTCCTGCACATGTAAATGTGCCAAGGGGATGGAGGCACACACGACCCACAAATATTGTGGAGTGTCGTGGCCATTGGCATTTTAAAATAAACTCACGTTTATAAAGCTTGGCCAGTTTTGTCAATTAGATTTTTATTTTTGGTGGAAACACGCCGGGTATGTTTGTATTATTGGTCGGGAGGCACTGAGGCCTTTCCCCCTTCCCTAGAGGAGGGCGGCTGAGATCACAGCCCTTGTTTGCACGTCTCCCACAGCCCAGAGCTGAGCCAGGACCACTTCATGCACTACATCTGCCATCACAGGGGCTCTGCCAGGTAGGCACCTTCCCGCCCCTTCTCCAGGTGACACACTGAGACCCTGACAGGTCTCTTTGTCCTGGTTACTCGCAGTGAGTGCAGGGAAGCCAGATTTCAGTGTAGGTTTTCTGGGGCTAACCGGGGGACTTTCGAGTGAGGCAGATTTTTCAGACATTACTATCTTGGCTCCGTCCGTTACATGGGAAGGAGGATAAAGAAGCAAGAGATTTGTTTGTCTACATCTGACTATTTTCTTCAAAGCTTCCCGGTTCTTGTGACAAAACCGCTAGTGCCGTAGTACAGTGTGGGGCCATTTCTTTTTCTCATTCAAAGTGTCATATACATGTTAGGCATATTCTAGAACTATGCTGTCCCCTACAGTAGCTACTAGCCCAGTGGTTCTCAACCAGGGATGATTTTGCCCCCTAGGGGACATTTCTGGAGCAATGTCTGGAGCTATTTTTGGTCATCACAACTTTGGGGGGGTATTGCTGGCACCTAGTGGGTGGGGGCCGGGCCTTTTGTTAAAGCAGCCCACCGTGCACAGGACAAGCTCCCACCGCAGAGAATGATGCAGTCCCAAATGTAAACAGTGCCAAGGGTGAGAAGCGCTACATTAGCCATATGGGGCTGGCTACTTTTAAAAATGTAAATAAATTAAAATTACATAAAATTAAAAATCTCATTCCTCGGTGTCATTGGCCACATTTCGGATGTTTAATAACCACATGTGGCTAGTGGTTCCTGTATTGGACAGCTCGCACAGGTACAGATCATTGCAGAAAGTTCTCTTGCTCCATCGTTGCAGAGATTTCTGTTGGACAGCCCTCTTCAGATGCTTAGCAAGTGGGTTTTAACAGCCTTTCAGTTTCTGATTTGCATGAGATCTGTAATAAAATTTAGTAATCATGACTAGTCCTGCCTTCTCTCGGAGAGATGCATCTGGGGCTCCATTGTATCAACAGAAAAAAAGAAAATGCTTTACCTTCTTAGGGCCAGTCCTTACCTGTAAGATGACACATGGCCTAGATTGTCACTAAAGATATTTCTGAGATAATTTCTGTGATTCTAAATTCAATTTGCTTTTTAGGGAAAAAAAAGGACTCTAGAATATTGTTCTAAAACGCCCAACTAGCTTCCCAGCAGATGGCGCTGCTGCCACATAGTCGCATAAGCAAAAGACTTGCTTCTCACAAATGACCCATTGTAAGATGGTTTACAACATAGGCTCTGGAAATTTCCATTCAGGAACAAAAACTTTGTAGTGATAAATTCCATTGACACTGGGTTTCCTTCTTCCCTTCCAGCATACCCCAAAAATGCAAATATGACTCTACAGAACCTCACTTCCCAGCTCCTTTGTTTTTCTTCTTGATCTGATCATGTTGACATTTGTAACTGCTCAGAATTTAGACAGAAAAAGAACACTAGCATCCTGCCACTTGCTAATTCATGTAATCGCGTTAATTCATTTATTCAGGAAACATTCAGTGCCTGTGTCTGCACTCGGCCCTCTTCTAGACACCAGAGTAGCCACAGTGAAGGAGACAGGCAAAGAATTTATATTGACTTTCTGGATCTTAACACTGTGGTTGGGGGAATCATCTGCTAAGGAGTACGGATGATAGGCACTTCGCTATAGCTTTCTTTTTGCAAACATTAGTTAAAAAAAAATAGCCCAGTTTCTCATTTAAAATGTATTGGGCAGACTCATGCTTATGTTAATCTTCCCTTGGCCAAATCCTCGGAGTACAGGACTGCACAGAATTACTAGAACAGCATTTTTCTTCTTAAATCTTCCAGACAATTAACCAATTTGCAGATCCCTATAATAGATGGTCATCTCCACAAATGGGAAAAATACCACCACTACCTCCCTCCTTGCAATTTGGGAAAATTTCAAATTACCTCACTTAGCAGTGCTGAGAAAGAAGATTCGGTTTAAATAGGGAGTCTATTTTTATGAGGCTAGATATGGTTATGTTCATCAGTGGCATATACCTTTGAACACTTGAGCACAATCTGGTGCAACCTCATAAATTCTATCATCAAACTGGTTCGGTGACATTGCATAGGACCACCCCCCCCCTTCATGAATGAGGGCTGTAAATTTTTAGCCTTATGAAACCATCTTTTAAGAATGGTAATTACTATGTCTGTTTTTAGAGTGCACACTGAACTCATATTATTGTAGTCCAGTCTCCGATTGTTGGTTACTACACTCCCTTGGTTTTATTCCAGTAGAAAATGCTGAGGGGTTGGTACACATCTCCGGCACAATTCCTGTTATAATGAAACAAGCGAGCAAGAAGAGGAAGGCGGGGAAGCACAATTGATTTACTGTGGGTTTGTATTGGGGCTGATTGACGTAGTCTGGTACTTCGTGTACCAGGTTGGAGTGGTTAGTCATTAAGCAGACACTTGGGTCTCAGAAACAAGGGACCAAGATGTGCTCAGCTGCCTATCGTGGAGAACGGAGTTGGGGATTTATAACGTGGGGAAAGCTTAGCGTGAGGGCTTGGGTATAAGACCCAGGCCGCATCAAAAGCAATTAAACACCACCTCCCATTTTAGAGGGTTTGCTAAGGGCTAGGCCCGACGGATCAGTGATTTGTAAGCCTTGCCTCAAACCCTCACAACTCTGCTACCCCATTTTACAGACAAGGGGGTGCAGAGGGCTTAAAGAATTTACAAGAAGTCACACAGTAGGTGGTGATGCCTGACTTGAATGCAGAGGCCAGAGCTCTTGAGCGTGACAGCTCTGCTTTTGTCATCTGCAGTCGTCCCAGAGTTCTGTCCCTGGGTCCTGTTAATTTTTGGCAGGTCTTAGAGGTGGAGGTGGAGCCAAGTCCAGAGGTCAAAGGTCTGGGCCCACCAGTAGGCAGCTGTGTCTAGTTAGGTTGGACATGGGTCAGCCCTTTCCCCAACCACAAGAAAGCAGCCTGGGAGGTCCCAAGCTTGCTGCTCTGGGGCAGGTAGCTCAGGCTTGCCCAGCTGGGGACGCTGGTGAGTACAGAAGCCTGCCCTCCCCGGGGACTAAGCCCCCAGTGACAAATGCCATTTCTTTCTTCTGACCTGAGAGTATTATTTCTTACGAACCTTGTCAGTGTTGAAAATATTGGTCATGTGGCAGGTGGAGAGGAGGCCTGGGCTTTGAACAGAATCGTGGGACTGGTCATTTGTTGCCTGTCTATATTTGGTTCTTTTCTTTTCTCACCCTATTACTGTTCTATGGCTGCGTTGTCCGTTAGCACAAACTTCGTGGCCTAAACACAATACATACGTATGATCTCCCAGGTTCTGAAGGTCAGAAGTCCGGGTGCCGTGTGACCGGATTCTCCATTCAGGGTCTCACAGGGCCCAAATCAAGGTATTGACCCAGGCCACAGTTCTGATCTGGGGCTGGGGGGTGGGGTCTTTCTCCGAGGTTGCTGGTTGTTGACAGAAATTCAGCTCCTTGCAGTGGTAGGACTCAGGGCCCTGTTTTCCTGCTGGCTGGCAGCTGAGAACTGCTCTTAGCATCTGGAGACCTCCCATGGTTCCTTGCTCTGGGCCCCCCTCCCTGGGAATTGTGCGGCTCGGATGCTGGATGTAGCTTTCTTCCGGGACCAAGTGGCTTGCATCTCTCCAGCTCCTCTGCTGCGGCCAACTGGAGGAAGCTCTGCTTCTAGAGGGTTCGCCTGATTAAGTCAAAGCCTACCTAGATAATCTCCTGATTTGGGACCTTAGTTACATCTGCAAAATCCCTTCAAGGGCCACTTGGATTGGTGTTGAACTGAATAGCTGGCCGGAGGAGTGTGTGTACCCAGGACCCAGAATCTTGCGAGCCACCTAAGAATTCTTCCTCCCACACCTGCCAATGGCTAATTGCCATCAATTTGGTGTTGATTTGTCCCGAGTCCGATATGTGATAACATGATCATGATGATTTTTGTTATTTAATCAAACACGTATATGGTGCTTATTCTATGTCAGGCACGGCTCTAAGGTTTTCACAAGTGTCAGCTCATATGATGCAGTAACTCTTTGATACGGTTGTGTTACTACGTCCATTTTAGAGCTAACGACATGGCCAGAGAGAGGTCAAGTAACTTCCCCAAGGTCCGACAGCTCTCTCAGGGACCGCATATTCCTTTAATCATATCAAGCCTAGATCAACAAGTTTGAAAGTGATAAATGAAGGTCCATGCGGGACCAAGAAGTGGGATCCCTCAGCCTTGACTCCATTCCCTTGGGAACCTGCTTAGTAAGTACAAGGTCATTGGCATGCCTGCCTGAGGGGTGAGGTGGGGGAGTGCTGTTTGCTCTTATGCGGCCTCCAGAGTCTTCTGTTAATCTAGGTATATTGTGGACGGAATGTTTGTTCCCCCCAAAAGTTTGCAAGTTAGGATTGTGGGAATCCTAACCCTCAAGGTGATGGTATTAGAAGGTGGGGCCTTTAGGAGGTGATTAGGTCGTGAGGGTGGAGTCCGCATGATGGGAGGAGTGCTCTCATAAAACAGACCCAGGGAGCTCTCTGGCCCCTTCTGCCATGTGAACATACGGGGAGTAGATGGCCCATCCCCAAACCGGAAAGCTGGTCCCCACCAGACACCAATATACTAGCACCTTAGCCTTAACTTCCTGGCTTCCGGAACTGTGAGAAACACGCTTCTGTGTGTAAACCCCCTCCCCACCCCAGGCTATGGCGTTCTTGTTATAGCCGCCCAAATAGAATTAAGACGAGGAGGGACAGTTTCAATGAGACAGATGTTTCACAGGAGTCTCCCCTAAAGTTTATAAAAACCAAAAGGGAAACCAAGCAACGTGCTTAT